CTGACTCAGCTGTACCTCACTCAGCAAAGCAGCACCTGTGTTTGTCATCGCCGGTATCAAATTCCATGTGTCAACCAACAGCTATAAAACAAATAAACGCAGGTCTGCATTTGGGATGGAAAACAGGTATTAATTAACACAAAGACCACCCTATGAGTATGAACATTTTCCTTGGAAACAGAACCTGAATTACCTAACCAGTAGTTTACTTGGCCATGGCACCAGACAGTGATGATGATGTAATATTTAAAAATGAAAGATCTATGGAACATCAATCACACCAACACAACTGAGAGGTAATTTTCATTACAACAAAACCCTGATTTATGTCTGGCATCCTAAACATACACAAAAACCTAGAGTGTGACACTACTGTCTTAAGTTGGATGATCTTTTAGGGTTACAAGCTAATTAAAAAGAACAGATTCTCCACAACCTGCTATGAAACAGCTCCTAGCTAGCTTTCCTTTTTCAAGGCAAGGAAATATAAAATATACCCACAGCTCCTAAAGCAAGATGGACGAGTGCAACACAACTGTGTGCAGCTGTGGCATCTCCAGTGTTACTTTGATAGAGCTGACCTTGCTAGAGTGAGGCCAATTAACCTGAGAAAAATAAGTGAAACCAAGCTGTGAATTCAGCTCTCACCCTTTTTAGTTCTGAAAGACTGGTGCCTGTTCCTCATAAAGCACCAGTGAGATCCTGAACAAGAGATGAAAACGTTTGCAAGAGGGATCCAGCCCATTTAGCTACAGAAGTAACATTTGCATGGAAACAAGAGCTACAGTCCCACAGGCTTTGAAATTACAAGGAACCTAAAAAGGGAGACTGCGAATACACTTATCTTGACACACGCTTTCCTACATCTATCGTACGGACTCAAGTCTCAGATTTTATGTGATCTGTTAAGAGAGATGTAGGCCAAACATTAGTTCTTCCAAGAGAAGCCACACTTAGTCTGGCACAACTGGTTCAAGCTGGAAAAAGATAAATTGAAAAAGATTAAAGGATTATTGTTTTCCATCAATTAGCAAAAAAATCTAAAGCAAAAACAAAGAAAAAAAATCATAAAGCACTCTGTAAGCATAAATTTAACATTATTCATACAGTAACTGAAGACATTAAATCCAGAATCCTGCAATACAATTTCTTTAATCATTTTTCCTACCAGAACCACACTGTAGTTTGTCATAGTAGGGAATTCTTGGGAGACAGAGCAACTAAAAGCTTCTTGGTACATAACCTTCTCTATATCAGGAGGGTAAACACATTGGGCGTAAGATATTGACAAGATGTATTACAAAAATCATGTATTGGGCATTTAGACTAAAATCTCTTAATATCCCATCTCACACCAGAGGACTCTGTATGGCAACATAAGAGAGAGAAATCCCCTGCACACAGATGCGTTTCTACCTGTGAATGGCAGACGAGAAATTGCTCAACAAGCCACGAAGCCATTTTTCTGTTTTCTGTTCTTTCAATACCTGTCAAAACTTGAAAGCTATGGTAGCAAACAATCCAAAAAACACCACCTCTGAAGAGTGTTTTAATTCTGTGGAAGAAATTTTTCCTTCAAACAGGAATATTACCTACCCCTTCATTTCAGGGTCCACTGAAAAATCTGCTTTGGCTTTCAGGAGGTTTGTCATGCAGCTATGTATGAAGAGAATAATCAATGTAAATTACTTCTTTTGTAAATAAAGCATAATCATGTTACTATAGTTACCTTGACTGAAACATTCAATAAATAATGCATCTCTGTGAGTCTCGTAATTGGTAGCAATCTTTGCTCTCAGTTCTCTCTAGAAAACTCTTTTAAAATGTAAACTGGTATTAAACTTCCTGGTTTTGTAATCATTGGAGTTTCATTTAATTTTTTATTTTAGTGGGAAAGATACCTAAAGTAAAAATACTAAATATGTTCATAAATTTTAGAAGGTTGAAAGATATACCATGCACACTGAGATTATTGCAAAAATAAATCAAAAAAAATTGCAATTGGCCTCACTTTTCAGATTTTTATATTGCATGAATGAAAACTTGCACCTATGGAAATTAAGGCTGCCTGCCCTTTTATAATCAAAAATGTACTCCTTCATGCTCACCATATACCATTTTTATAGTCAATTGGTCAAATAATTCAGTGCAGCTGTTCAGACACCCACTACATTTTGATTCTCCAGTCGTTCTGGTTGTTTAGTATCATTAAAACTATTAATAGGATGAAAAAACATGCTCTGACTGAACTTGTACATTTCCATTTCTAGCTTTTTTTCCAGACTATAGGACATTCTGAAAAAATAATCTGCAAAGAACTGCTGAAACCAGAATAATAGGGCATTTGCTTATGGAAAAAAATTTGGCTTCATCCTACATCTTTTACAACCATATCTGCACACTCAGCGCAAATATGAACAGTTAAGAAATAGGTATGCTGAAGTCAATGAAATTTTAGATGCTTAAAAAAATGCATCAGCATCAGACAATGCAATTTTTGTTTACATTGCAACACAATGGAAGTTAATGTAGATATAGCCTTGATCTCTGAAAACACGTTTATGTTTTAGTCTAGTCTAAAAAAAAGATATAAGTGGTAAGAATGAAGTATATATTTGGTCACATTAAAATGAAAACAACCTTTAGACTTTGCTGCAGTTAAATGGTTGCATGTAAAAGGAAAAATTACTCTTCAGTACCTAAACCACCAAGTTATTTTTAAAATATTTTAAAAATCTGCATCTGAAGTTCTCTTTAAAAATATTCACATTTTCAGTACACCCGGATGCAACTCATAAACTGTAACTGCTCTTTTTCTTTTATCTTTGGGTTTGCAAAGCAATTGGTATTTAAAAAAAAAAAGAAGAAAGAAGTGATCTCACTTATTATTTCAAGACATTCAGGTCAGAGATGAAGCATAATACAACTAAATAAATGTTTCAGCATTTAAAACAGTAAAACTAGATTTTGTAAGGTATCTCTCTGAAAAACAAACACTGAAACCCCAGAAGCTTCCGCTGCTTTTACATGAAACAGCTGATGACTTTGAAAACTGCCAGCCACATGACTGCATTAACTTAGAAGTAAAGAAAACAACATAATTACTGGCGTAAGGTTAACTCAAGCAACCTATTTCCATCCTTGAATTCATTTGGAACTTTATGATTTGTTACCCTCCTTTAATTTTACGTCCCTGGGAGAGCCGGTAAGTTATGTTTCCGCGGCAGATCTCCATTGCTCTGACTGCACCAACACGAACTCCAGGGTTCTCCACCCACTCTTGTAAAGAGAAAACTTGGTCTGAAGCAGCACTTCAGGCTGTTAATATTCTAACTCATGGTATTCAAACTGTGATCCATGAAGACTCAGTTGACCAGCAGTGCAGATCAAACATCTCCTTGGCTTGACTAAGGAAAGCTGAGTATACATTAACGGCACATTAGCAAACTTTAAAGAATTTGAGGAATTTCATGTGGATATTACCTGTTGGTGATCAAGGTAAAAAGAGACCATTTTTACAATAGGATATGGAATACACTTTTAAAATGTCTGAAAACCAGCACTATAAACACTTCTATGAACACAACTACAGCTACAGAAAAGCAAAATAACAGTGCTGAGTGACCAAGTTAAGAAGGATCTCAGTTGCCCTTTTCTGCCTCTAACAATTGCCTGGAAGTATGACAGTTTTGGACAAGAACTCCAATATCGAGGAAGAAGTGTTGAAAAGTGAAGAGGACCTAAACATCAAACAACTCGAAGGAAGCTTTGCACAGATCTTAACGATCAAAGGAGAACATCATATTGAAAAGAATGATGAGAATCCTTGCCTGCAGATGCGCAGTGTTGCAGCCACACAGGAATTCTTACTGTACGGAATAGATCTTGAGGGCTTTGGCACAGCAAGCACCTTCAAGTCTATGTGGACAGGTCATCTATAAACTTGTTAGTACTTTTAACTACCCATGCTAGTTTGTTTTGGTTTTTTTTTTTTGGTCATAACATTACTGTCCCCAACTTTTTCAGTAAATTTGTACTAAACACCTTTCCGAGAATTAAAAAAAAAAAAGTGAAATAGATTCAATGTATGCTCAAGAACAAAACACCTTCTTGATCAGCTGATGAGCATTAAAAAAAAAGACTTGACTGCCTTACCATTAAGCAATTTAACTCCAGAGAGTTTCATCATCATCATCTCGTATTTCCCCTTTCTTTTCTGTTTTGGCCAGTAAAGCATGCAACTGCAAACAGTATTTGCAAAAGAAGTTTTTCCCATGGTAACAGGAGTCAGAAGAAAGAAGTGTGAGTGAAAAGCAGTACTACTGCTGACAGTTATAGCCTTAAAGTATGCTACAAAGGCTATCATACACTGAATTTACTTTCCTGTTTCAGTTTACTATTGAAAGGTACAACAAACCCAGACTTCTATTACACTTTTTTATAGACACTAAAAATAAAAATCATAAAATTACACAAAGACACTAGCAAATAAAGACAGCTGAATTCCTGGATAAAGCATATTCATGTGACTGAATAATTCTGAAAAAATCATAAAATGTTACTTATTTGCTGGAGAACATCACACAGCTACTGGTCATTACTACATTAGGTGTAAAATTTTATAGTTAAAATCTTAAGGGTATCAACAATTTGCTTCTTATACATACACAATTTTTTCACATAAGCTCATTCTTCAGTGCTTCTCTATAATGACAGGTGACAGTTTCTCTACTGGTCAGGTTTTAGTACTATGAGCTTCAGCTCTGGCATCTCCTGTTATGCTTAGCTGAGAAAAGTAGATTTCACCAAAAGCTCTGCTTTCACAGCAAAATTGATGGTTTCAATGTATCTGAACATAATCCACAATAAAAACTGTAAGTGAAAACAGATATAAGGTAGTACTTTTTTTTATCCTCCTCTCAGATACAGCTTGGGGTAAGCTTTTTCATATTTGGAAAATTTTGCTGAGTAACAAATAACTGTACATTTAGGCATTTTCATATGGTTTAGCCTTTTATTTTCTACAAACACAACTTAGATCATTGAACTGTCAGTTAGAATGAACAGCGAAGATTGACTCAAATGCTGGGTCCAACAACAACATTAATAGCAAAACTTTCACTGAAAATTTCAAGGGTTTAGATTAGCAACAACTTTACTTATTTCCAATCAATTTTCATATCGAAGTTCTAAAGAAAAGCACTATTAAGCCAAACCCTCTAAACATTCTGTTCAAAGAAAGGTGTAATCAGTAACACATTTTAAAATCTTAAGCTCTTGGATTCAAAGGTGTAGAATACAGGGTGTACTCGGAAAAAGAAACTAAAAATTACATTTTACTTATTAAAAACTTCTTTTTTCATAGCATTATCAAAAATATCTTATTGAAGTTGCATCCACTTTCTAATGGACTTCATATATATGGGCTATATAAATATTTAATTATGCATAAGACCAGGGATATATCCTAATTCAAGTACATAAAAAAGCAAGTGTTTAAATACCAGTGTGTCTAACTTTTTCAAAATATTAAAATAATTTATATACATTGCTATTTCAAAGTACAAACTTTTTTGCTGGTGTAAACAAACACGGAGATCTAGTATATAATATTTTTGTTTCAGTCAAAACTTCAGAATAAAATTTTTAACAGCCGCAAGTGCCAACATCATATATAGCCTAATCCACAGCAATGTTACCCAATGGTTCGTCTTCTATATAACAAGACTATAAGTAGAAATGCCACCAGATCTTAATTTCATTATGTGGTGTAACAACAGAATTGTCCTAGAAAGGTGAATATCTGCTGTAATTGAATGCGCTTTTGGGACTAAGAAGCCATTCTCCCAGTGAAGGTTTGGGTTTTTTACTGCAAATATCCATACCAGTTCAATTCTTCCTATCTACTTTTCATCCCATACCATACAGTTCCCCTTCACCTTTCTCTATAGCATAGTGATGAGTATAACTGTAGTTAAATAAAGAAACTTGCTGGTTTAAACACATCAGTATCACGCTTGTGTCTAACCCTACTTGACAATAGCAAAGGAGCACTAGTCTGGTGTAGGACAGAACTTCAGTTTTGCTTTATTTTATTTATTATATTAAGAAAAGGTCTTGGAATACGCACTGACAGCTGTTGTCTGTTCTTTTAAACTTGCTGTAATCAAGCACAATGAAGTTCACCCATGTTATAAACCAAATTAACCTCTCAATCAAGGATGAGTTCAACTATAAAAAGTAATCTAACAAACCTGTAAATAGTAGACTATATAAGCCATATCACTACTTTCCCCAATAGTCTAAGTTACTTATTACGTCCTTGAAATTGTGGCTTTGACTCATTGCTTATAGGTGCTGATTCAGACTGTGATGGCTCTGAATCTGCAATAAAAAAAAAAAAGATTAAAGTTCTTAGGATAACTTCAACCATAATAAAAAGATCAGCTAAAATGTTCAGTTTCTCTCTCACGTCAGCAAGCGTACAAATTCCAGTACTTCTAATTTTTAACTAACAAGATAGACAAGATACCTACAAAGTTTGCAGTACCATGCAAATCTACAACCCAACACAAACAGATTGTAGATTTACATATGGCATGGGTTTTATCTCCTGTCTGATGTGTCTTGGACTTATGCTATGCAAGAGAACAGAGAAAGCTCCACCTCAAAAGGGAGCTGCAAGGTGCTTATGCTACCAATTGCTTCAGATGAGCAGACAAAAGCACCCTAGTGGGAATAATATACAAGGACTACCTTCAGTGCATACCTGAAAGAATGAAAAGGACAAGGTCAAAACTGAATCAAGGAAGATGTCTGGATGAAACCATACTGTTAAAAGCGTTAAAAAATATCTCCTTTTACATTAAGATACAGAATCAATCTATAGCTATGATTGACAAGGGAGGGCAGTACAAGCAAAGCAGCTGTCATCTAAGAATTTGTGAAAGAAAAGCATCTCAAAAATAAGATTTATCTATATATCAAGCTAAGCAGCATACTTTAGCATACTCAGCAGCCTGTACAGTATACCCATCATTTTGTTCTCTGTGCCTAAGTGGTATAACCAAACCAATACCATGATTACTCTGAAAAATCTTCAGCTTTCTTTGTATCCCAATTAGAGGCACATTTCACATTAAAGAAATCAACTATCACCAGATGAACGAATTTGATTTTTCAAAAATCCCAAATCCTTTCATTTTGCTCACATCACTCTTTAATGGAAAATAAAAATGTCAGTGCACAAAGAAGTTAAATAGATACTGAAGACAAAAGAAGAATATTCAAGGTTTTCTTTCTCGCTAAGGAAGAGCACTTCCAGGCTCCACAGCTGAGCCATTAGATCACTGCGCGTCCCAAGGCAGCATCCTCTGGATGATCGCAGTTTGGATACTTCAGTTGACTTTGAAGAGCGGCTTCTCAGGTTATGCACCCTCTTTCATGTCCAGGCTGAGATCTGGCTTCATCCTTCTATAGCATTTACTTCTTCTGAACAATAACACACAACTTGTCGTTTTCTGTTTGCCTGTTTTCTTCTGTTACTCACCTGGAGGAAGAGATTCTGCACACACATATAAAAAAAAATTACTGTAAATATATTAATTGAAGACACAAAGATGAATTCAGGAACCACTGAAGCGTCACAGAAACTAAATTGACTGGCCTCTAAGACTTCCACACATTGATATATCAAGGTCAAGGCAACCCCTAGTGTATACACAAACATTCACTCACATAAATTTTTTATAAAGTAAACAAATTCTTGAGTTTGCATTCATGTTCAAAAGCATTTTTAAAGGTTGCTATAGAAAACTGATACGCCCACCGTGGTCACCAAGCCACTGTAAAAAGCCTAAGCAAAAGGTCTTTGACAGAAGTAAGGGGAATTTTCCACCCTTTAACCTTTAGATGTGTTTTCAAGTGATGCATTTCATATCTATTACCATTGTGCATGAAAGAGTAAGGTTTGAAATCCCAGGTAAACATTGGATAACTTTTCTTCTCTATATTAAAACTGTTGCAACTCCATTGCCTTCAATGATGCGCATATATTTATTTTGACAATTTCTTATGAGCAGTGATCTATTTCTTAAACATGAATATTTGTCGCAAGTTTTGAGAAAAATATTAGGGGCTGAAGACTATTCACAAAAAATAGGCAACAAATATTATACGGTATGCTTTAATTCAGGCAGGACAGCTGTGTCTCTGCAGCATTTTACAAAAACACACCACACAGAAACCTTTGGATTAGAACAGAACATCCTTCTGCAATTTTAAAGACAAAAAAACCCATGAAAGCCCCACCCTTTGCTGACTACAAACAGAGGCACTTTTTTCTATAGCTGGTCATAGGACATTGTAAACTAAGCATGGGAATTCACTAAGTCTCACCATATTCAAAGAGAACCACACAAGTTATTCAGGCTACCCTCTGCTGTCACATTGCCATCCCAACTCACTTTAAAAGAAACAGCTGTCAATAATTTTACCTTTGGACTGCTCACTATTTTCTGGTGTTTCTTCAATCTTTTTTTCCCATCCAGTACGCTGCTGAAACCAGTCAGTCCCATAACCATTGCTAATTAATTTGCTAAAGTTTACTGCTTCATTTTTTCTCTGAGGAGGCCTGTAAGTCCAAACATATTAAGGAAAACAATAGTGTAAGTTATCAAAAATGGGGATTAGGTAGGAAAAATTTACTTTGCACAGAAAGGGCAATGGCCTTGTAACATAAATTATTTTTAAGTAACTAAACATATATTCTACGTGTAATCATCTAAAAAAAAAAAACAACCGACCAACAAAAAAAAAACCTAACAAAGCACACAACTACACCTGATTCAGTAACATGTAATTTTACATGACAAGAGCCATCCATTTTATTGGAACTTAACATGTGTAATACACAGCTTCGGTATTAAAAGGGAAATCACACAAAGATGCAGAAGTAAAAAAGGCTGACAATACTCATTTTGTGCTGCATGAAGGTGAAATTTTGTCCCAGATTTGCTTCAAAGTTCATTAGAAAGTTTAATCACTTCTTTTGCAGCATTAACATATTTCTAAAACATACTGAGATTACTGATGACTGTGTAATAAATTTTTTAAGACAAAATACACAGAAACAATTCAGTTGTGCACACAGCTGATGATGTGATTACATCACAGGTGATATAATTTAAGACTATTACCTTCCAGGTGTTCATCACAGTATTCTTGCTGTGCCTTACCATCTATATAGGCTGCAGTTTACGTGTTTTCTTCAAATGGCAGTCCTACTTGTGTCTCTGTAACCTATGCTTACAGAACTAACAATGTATGTTATAGTTTGCAGCTGTTCACTGGTATTGAGAAAAAAACCAGACAATTTAGAATACAATAAAAGCATGTTACATGAAGACATGCAACCGTATGCTCAGTTTTCCTAAAGCAAAGCTATATTGAATAGCTTTCCTATACAAGTTAAAGTGTTTTAGTAAAACTATTTCAGTATGATGGCACATGATAGCAAGTTGAGCAGCAGTAAGGATCCACAAGTCCATACACATATCCTCTGATCTCTGCAATTTCACAAGAAGCAATATTACTTGCATGCACTAATAGTTGCAGGCTTGGGAGTTTAGTGAATTTCCTAAGTGTACTACTTACATAGGTGGGAAAGAAAGCTTATTTTTCCCACTAAATTCCTTGTTTGTAGAAACATTCGGCGTTCTGCTTGGATATTTAGGGTTTATAGCTGGGAGCTTTACCTGCGTTAAAGAAATCTTAACTTAATAAAAAGAGTTATGATAAAAATAACCAAGAAGATTATATGATAGTATAACCTTCAAAAGTGAAGGTTATATTAAAGGCCCCAAATGTCTTCAAATTTTACTGTTTTATCTATATTATTTCCATAAGGGTACAGGAATATAAAGGAATAGCACAAGACAAGCAGCACCTTAGTTAGTTATTCTAGATGAGATCAGCTCTTTGTTCAGTATGTCAATAATGCAAAATGTGCTCTCCACAAGCTTTTCCCTCACAGTACATTTCTACCAAAAGTTAAGTTTCAAATTCAAACTTTAGTTTTCCACATTTAATGTGGAAAGAGAAAAGTATAACAGCATTTGAAAACATCTAATCAGTAATAAGCCACTAAAAAGAAGCAGAGCTGAACCTGGGAGAAAGAGACTTCAAGGACAGACAGTTTTATTCATTCTGACACAGGGTACCAATGCAAACAGATGTGTTAAATCAGTGCTGAAATCCCTACAGACTTCAGTGGAGTCTGAGTTAACCAGAAGAAATATTCTGGAATCTGGTAAGAAAATTAAGTGGATGGGCTACTAGATTTCAGCCTGACTGATGTTATGTCAAAGCTTAAAGAGTTTAAAAACTGGGACATTTGTCAAAGAAGAAGAGATGGTACTAGTGAGGCTGTGCAGTGATGTCAGACAAAGGTGGCGGGGGTGGTCTGTTGTCCAACTTGGATGTTAAAAAACATATTAGCTGCTTAGAACTGCTTTTCAAATCCGTTAAATCTGCTGAAGCAGCCTACTTGTGTTTTACATTTCAGAATTCTATCCTATTGTGCAAAAAATGATAGTACTGTTTTCTGTCTATCATTAAACTCTACCATTCCAGATCTGACATACCACAGAAGTCCCAGATCCAGGACAGAGTTACCTATAGTTTCAACTGACAAAAGCAATTTACTTTGACAAGTAGAAATCATCAGTCTCAGGTAACTTCTGTCACATATTGAAGGCACAATGGCACACAGGGCAACAAAGAAGCACAACTTGATTTGTTAGGCAGGGTATACAAATAGTAGATGGAAAGAGGTGAGGCTCTCCTCTTGACACTGAAGAGAAGCATTAGAATAGGAAGTCTAGTCTAGTAATTAAAGATTTAATTAAAGGGCAGGGGATGAAGAAAAGCCCAGAGGGATCTTGCCTATAGACAGACAAAGGCACAAATATCAAAACTAAAGTCAAGTTAAAAGTGGGGAAGGCAAGGCAATGAGGAAAGACTTGAAGGCTGCTAGCAAGTCTCACTCATTGCTCTAAACGTTGTCTTTCTTTTCTTGATATTAAGTGAGACTGGCTACATAACTTGCAGGTATCAAAACATTCCCCACTGCTCCAAGTGATAAAAGCAGCAAGGGAACAGACCAGAGTTTGGTTTCGGGGGATACCTGCAATTCTATCAGGTCCTGTTTCTTACTTTGCTGGGAAAATTCAGCATTAAAAGCAGACCCTTGTGCCACTACACCCCAATGGTTATAGCTGAGGAGGCATTGTCACTTTGACAAGCATCTATTTCACAGCTGTCAGGTTTCTCAGATAAAGCAAACTTTGTAGGACACATTTTACATGTTCTTGGTTTAAAGTGTTCTCTTTCTTTGGGAAGGAATGGCAACAACATACTCTAAAAATTACCAACTAAATTTATTACACATCCACATTTATTAGTCTCGGATGCAAAAAACATATGTATTGTGTCTGGCTGGTATATGAAGAACAATGGATACTGCAGCCAGCATGGAAAGCATTTTCATAGCATTTTCAACCCATCCCAGCTGGTCCACAAGATGCACAGGCAAAAAGATCCTTGCACCTGGGCTAGTAGTCCACACCTTGCCATGAGCACAAATACCAAATCCTCCATGCCCTAACATGTCTTTTCTGCTTCGCAAAATGCCCAGAATGAGAATTATCCCTGTGATTAAGGCTTTAGGGAAAAACTACAGAATCCACCCCAAGGCATGGAGAACCATGTAATGATCGCCCTCATCTCCAGTCCTCCTCTATGCAGTGACAACCGTAACACAAGGAGCGGTAGAGATTCTAATATTTCAGAACTAAGTGGCATGAAGGCTTAAAGCTCCAGAGCCAAGGCCCACTTGGGAACAATGTTTTCCAAACTGAGTAGAACAGGTACCCTTAGAGGTTAAAATGTTTTTGCACTTGTCCCTAAGGGCGTCTTTTGGGATTTATTGCCATGATTGCATCACGCATCTCTCTTGTGAACAACTGCTTAGTCAGACTGGACTGAAAAATATTTTCAATACGTTCAGTCTTAACACTTGAAGGAGTTTGCTGCTACAGTATCGTCACATAGTCAAACAAATAAATTGAATATTCCTTAGGAATTTGCCTGTGGTGTTTTGGAATACATCTCTTACATTTCAATATACACCATATACAGTGAGAAAACTAAAATCAAGACAGCTTGGTAGGGCTAGTTCCATTGTCTCACTTGAAGACTCTTCAGGAAGGTATTCTTAAAGTATGGCACAGAAACCTCCAATAAGAGGAGATACAAGAAATAACTGTTAAAGAAGCACCATGTGATGCTTCAAGATATACGAGACAGTTTTCAAAGTACAAGAAAGGTACTGGGAAGGACAGCCATTTCAGAGATGGTGGTGTGGAGGTAGAACTAAAGCTAGAGATAGAGAATGTGCCTTCTCAGGCACCTAATCTGAAAGTGCTTTAGACAACACTCAACTTCAGCTTCCAAAAGAGCAGTGTGAATTACACATCGGAAGATTTGAAATCTGAGCTGAATATATAACATATATTCACTTTTTATTTGGTGATAAATATAAAACACATGGGAACTTTCATTCACTTGACTGAATGAAACTGGGTCTTGATCAAACTCCAGCCAAACAGAAATGGACCTCAGTCAGTCACCATAAGGACTTGAATTACACTTACTGTTATCAAAGTTAATTTGACTCTTAGAGCACTGAAGATAATTGGTTCTTAAGCAAAGGAGCAAGGGAAAGCACTTCCTCTCTCCAAGTTGGATCCTTTAAGACGCTTTGTGGCTCTCCTATTTTCAGTGCCTTAAATTTCTGATTGAAAAAAGCTTTACCTAGAAGCATTCAGCAAATTATTGTTTTTAAGCACACATTGCTTTTTTGCCTGCTTCCACAGATTAAGTAAACGTCCAATATCTGACCCTCCATTCAAGAAAGGAGGTACTCATGTTCAATTACATCAAATGCCTTTCCATGGATACTCCACCGACCTATGGTAAATAAGGCAACCGAGATTATGGAGGATATTAAAAAAAAAAAAAAAAAAAAGCTTCACCATGGATTGACAATAATTTGATGATGTTCTTATTCATGTTCTGAGTCTCTGTGAAACCACTCTCACAGTCATTTGTGTTCTCAAATTAAGTCTGTTTTGTGCACTCAACTATTTCATGGTGGGACTGAGAGTTAGATATAACCTGTCTAAAAAGCGAGAACTTGAGTGAATGTTAAGATTTAAAATTTAAATATTTCAGAATAATCTGGGACTTTTCTCACTACTGTGTGTGAGAACCAGTATTAAAAAAAAAAAAAAAAAAGGCTTCAGCATCTAAAATGTGCAGGGGTGGGGAGGATGAAAGAGGGACACTTCTGGGACAAAACGCCTAGATCACCAAGAAAGGTTTGTTCCGGGCATAACTTGTGCTGTACTTATTTTGTCTTGGATACATCTTCCATTCAAAGGCAGCTAGTGCAGTATCTCTGGGGACTCTCTTGCATTTCTAACTAAAACTAATCCCTTTTTTGGAACAGTCGTATGTTCCTTCCTCCTTCTTCTTCCTTCCTCTCCCAAGATCACCAAATAAGAATTCTGTTCACCAACAGTGAATTGCAGGGGAAATAAAGCATAAGAAGATAGAAACTAACAATTGGCTTTCATTCACTCTTAAGTATACGCACCATATAATGTGACTGGAAACTGCACTTCTGGTCCATATGCTGTACCTGCAGCACCTAAGAGAAACATGGCTTCTTCTCATTCTCTAACTGCAGTATAAGAATTGCTTCCGGAATACAAAAACTAGGGTGGACTACAGCTTCCTTTCTAGAAGAACCCACAGGCCCAGCTAGAAGTGTCTTCACAAGCTGTACAAATAAAGTATTGTCACAGAATGCCTCTCCATCATACCTTCTTTTTCTCTGTGTTTTCTTTTTCCTCAGCATCCCGCTGCCAAACGCTTTTCATATCAAAATCAAAAGGCCCTCTTCTTGTCTCATAACTATTACCATGATGGTCATCAGCCTTAAACTCTCTGTGAATCATATAATCTGGTAGAGAGGAAACGTAGCTCCTGCAAGCAGAGATTTAACACTTGTTCATACAAGGGATATGTATCTTGCACTTGATGCAAAATGCAGTGAGAACACAAGAAGTTATGCAAGGTCTCAGCAGACTTACCGTGGCTCATTGGTCGCTGGGGGATTGGAGCAGTGAGTGTACCAGTCAGGTGCAGCATATGCTGCTGGAGAAGTCTTCATTGTCACAGGAGTGTAATGATTCAGTAGGTCTTGTGAGAAAAAGACAAAAAAGCCACTACATTTCTGCCTTCTTACCTGGTTGAAAAGCATTAGCTTTGTTTTCAGGCTGCTGTTTTAACAGGAAGAAATGCTTGCTTTATTCAGCAGGAGCATTTGTCTCCCTTGATAAAACAGACAGAAACTTGCAGCACTGCGTTCCACTTGTACATTATCTTGCTCTAAATGCTTTGACATGTTTATACCCGTCTATTAATTCACATTTCTGGATTTGTCACCCTGCTCTAAGAGCGCATGGAAAGCATTTGCTCAAGTTCCTCAAGGTTCCTTCATCAATAAAGGAAATGACAAAACCATAAATCACCTTGGCACAATGACAGAGTATGTAGAGCACTGTAACAAACTGAATGTCATCACAAAAAAAACTTTAAAAACCTCTAGGAAGTTTTCTGATGCTTTTTTGTGACATTTTCACCAGACCACTACTTAAATAGCCCAAGCATAAATTGTAAAGATTTCACTCAAATGCAGCTTAACCGTCATCATCTACTTAGATCAGATACAGTGCAAAACTACACATTTTGCTAAAAGGTACATATACAGAACAGACTGTAGGATATCTTGACAGGTTGACCTCATGTCACATTTGCAATTACTCAGTTTTTCTATAGGTTTCTTTCAAAACTCCAGAGGATTCTTCTGTATTGTCTCCAAGCACCTTCTAACACCACATTCAAGCAAAGCTAAAGAAAACAGAAGAAAAACAAACAAGCAAGAGAGATGCTCACCAGGTCGGCCTCCTTGCTTTGCCAGCCTGACATAAGCTGAATCGGTCTCTTTGATCCACTTCCTACGGCACCCAGACACAGCCTCATGGGGAGCACGGTCACCGAGACCCGGGATCTGGGATGTTGGAGGAAGTATGCTCTTTGAGGTTACCAACTTCTCTGGTTGTTTCAGTGGCATGTGGTATTATGGTATTACCGTCCTGTGGTAACAAAAAGGCAAATATTTATGGCAAAAGCTAACTACTAGCATCCCTTTTTCAGGCAACTAACAAATCGAGCCCACCTGAAACTTGAGCAACATACTGCATTTCAGCCTGGAGACAGAAGACCAGGCTCGCTTATTCTGGGGGATATAACACACACAACTTCTAGAGGATCAGATGCAACAAGGGGACACCTTGGTTTCAGTTTTGAAACAGCATTCAAGTTTTCACGGAAAGTATTCTGACACAGTGACCGTGCATCTTCATGCAGAAAACTATTTCCAAGGACACCAAGAGCAGCCAGAGGCACAGAAGACAGCCGGAAACACTTAAGCATTTGCTTTCCTTTCCTTCTCACCCATTAATAACAGCAAAGGTGGTACCTGTCTGTTTGCAGCTCTATATTTTTAAAGTAACCAAACCCAATCCCCAAACTGCCCACCTCCTCAAATAAAATAAATAATTAAATTTAAAAACACCCCACCTCCTGACACATTTCTGTTTTCTGAGCAAACAGAACGTATAAATAAATCCCCATTAATGGGAAAATGAAGTGTCAGGCAAGAAAGCCAGCCTAAGGACTAAGACAGCACGAAAGGCACACGGGACACTTACTGAAGGGACTCCGAGAGCAGCACACGCCGTTTCACGGCCGTAAGTAAACTACCTTAAGGCAGGCATCCTCTTGGGGAGGGAGCTCTTGGTACCAGAGTGTTTGATACGCCGAACCGCAGCTCCAGAAAACGACCGCGACCACCCGGGACAGCGAAACCAGCGACAGGAGCCAGCGGCGCAGAGGCCGCCACCCGCAGCTCCCTCGCTTGCCCGCCGAGCCCCCTTCTGACGGGAGGCGAAGGCAGGCCTCAGGGCGGAGCGAGGCTCAACCCGGGAGGCAGCGCGGGACAGCCCGCCTAACGCTCCCTCCTCTCCGCGGGAGGCTGAGGGCAGCACCACCGGGCCAAGCCCGGGCGGCTCCCGCTCCTCACAGCCGGCACCCGGCTCGAGGGAAGGCGCGGAGCCGCACGGGGCCGCCCCCGCCCGAAGAGAGACGCCCTCCCGCTGTCCGCCGCGCGTAACGGACCGCTCGCCCGCTGCCGGCCGCGCCGCCGCGAGCGCCGCCCGTCCCCATGGCAACAGCGCGGGAGGCCCGCCCCGCTCCCCCCTCACGTACGCGAGACGCCGCCATCTTGTTCTGGCCCGGGGTGCTCCCAGGGCGGGCAGCTGGATCCCTCGTCCTTCCTTCGCCGTCCACGGCCTGTGGTGGGGTGGCTCTTCATCTTCCCGCCCTAGACTGGGCAAGCGACACGTTGGAAGGGAGCTGGGACTCTCTCAGGGTCCGTGCCGTGCTGGGGTCGACCCTGCAGAGCAGGGGCAGGGTTGAGGGGTGCCAGTCCCTGTGTGTCCACCCTGCAGGCTGTCACAAAAATGACCCTCGGGGTGTTCTCAAGAGGTTCCAAACCAGGGGAATGGAAGCTGCCAGCTGAATTATATGCCCGCAAATGAATTTTTGAAGTGATTGACACGTTGGAGGTTAGGGGCTGAAGTGATAGCATGCAAGCCAGTGCTTTGCTGAAACCTGCGCAGGCCCAAATCTGCCTAATCACTGTCAGCTGGAGAGCACACCTGGTGACATCCTTTGCACTCGCATCACAGGTGATAAAGCTCTTCTTTCAGGAAGAGCTTATGTAGCTGTTCTTCCAGGGTTAGGGCTTTGCTCAGCACTTCTCCAAACTCATCACTGTAGACCCTGAGTAGATACAGTCAGGCGTCATGGCTCAGGGTCCATGGTGGCTCAGCACTTGCAGCCTGGTATAATTCCTGAACACAGAAAACTAGTTCTGAAATGAGAAGAAATGAGTTACCGTTTCCTCTCTGGGATGTGACTGCTGACGAGTAGTGCTGCAGTAATGTTCAACAGCACACTTCCAGCTGCCCTGCAAGGTCTTTCAACCTGTCACAGTCTTGATGTTCTTATCCTGGTCTGAGCCGTAGGGAGCCAGGGGAACAGTAGAGCTGAAGGACTTAATCTTCTTCAGTAGGAAGCGGGCATATGGGATGGAATGCTTTCTTGGAAAGAAACTGCTCTGCTACAAGGACAATAAAAGAAATATTAAAAAACACCCTAAATTTCCAATAGGCTGGGCAGATCATCTTCTAATAAAGTTGAGGTTGCTGTGCCCAGCAAGCGTACCCAAGGACAGCAGCCTTCAGCTTAATAGTGAGTACAGGTATCTGGACAGTCACATCCGTGAAGCTGAGCCCAGCAGCAAATGGCTTCCTTTGTAAATAAAACACAACATTCAAAATTAAGACCCCTGTTTTACTCTGTGGTACCGCAGTGATACACCTCCCATTTGTGCCAACACACAGCATACATCTTGGCAGACTCTTAGCAGATATTTAGAATTAACAGTAAAGAAAACACTTCCCTCAGACAGGCAGCCCTAACTGGCCCTCTGGAAAGGTTATAATGGGCTTCATTTTCAAGTTTATGATGAGAGCTACAGCACAATCAGATGCTGGAACAGTTCTGTAAAATACGCATCGTATCCACTCCTATCAAAAGGAAGCACGAAAATACAGTGAGATGCAACTTGAGGAAGGAAAATATGGCAAACAGTTGGATGGAGTTACTTTCTATGATAGGTGCTATAGTGAGGGTGCTGTTGGGTTGGCAGGGAGCCCTGGGCAGGGAAGGTGTCATGAGGAGTTAAGAGAAGGGTGGTGAGAAGGGTGCTTTCAACCCATGCAAAAAACATCCTTTAACAAATGGTTGAAGTTCTTTATCCAATGCAAATGCCTGAAAGACACGACTTCAGACATGAGCTAGTAATCTTATTTGTGTAGCAGGAGGAAGGGAAAAGGGGAAAGACACGGTGTGCTGGCTATTAGCCACTTGTTTCAGAGCAGCAACAGATACGATTGAAGGGGAAGACTGTACAATGGAAAAAGGAGGATGAGGAAAATCTCAGGAATACTTGGGAATTAAAGTTTGGACAGGAGAAATGCAAACTAATTTGCTTTAGTCAAAACTTTGGCCCCAGTTAGTTACAAATACCAGAAGGGCACAAGAAAACGTTGCTGGAAGCCACTATGATTGACACAGTTAAAATCTATTGTACCTTGTGTCGTGATGATAGGGTTGGGAATATGTGGCTTCAGACATTGGTCCATTCTCCTCAGGGCCAGACGATAACTAGAATTATCTCCCCTGCCTTCTCCACAGCTCCCTTCTCCCCTTCCTCCCCAACCCCCCTCCCCTGTTTTGACATCCAGTAATCAAGTCCAAATAACAGGGCACAAAACCCACCTCCCCTTAGAACAACTACTGGAGGGTTTACTCTCTTGGAATGAAGAGGTCTGTAGGGGAGGTATCATACTAACCCAAGGGAAGCACCCTTGGCCTTGCTAGCACAAATCTGGATGGCCAGAGCCAACCAACTCCACATTACCCCAGCTGATGCTTGTTTATTAACATTAGGTTCAGTAATATTTTTAGACACTGCAGGGCCAAATATTAGAAATCCCTGGGCTTGGGTTTTGTGTTGGCAACATACATTGCATCCTGTTCATCATGGTGGAGCAAGCGCATGGCAGTGGACCTCGTCAGCCAGCCCGCACACTGCCTTCCTGAAAACCCTTATTTTAGCTGAACTGGAGGGACCAGCACCCATTGCTCAGGTGCCAAACAAACACCTCCTGTAGAGCCCATTCCCCGGGAGATTATTTCTTAGGACTTCTTTGTCCCATAGTAAAGGAAGCAGAGGGAACATAGGAACTTACAAAAATGTGTGTAGATAAAGGACTCTCACCAGGTCAGTTAAATAGGCTGCTGGTTCCCATTTTGTAGCAATTGGCCAGGATTCCCTTATTAACTCCTCATAATACTCCTCTGGGATCCGTATCAGGGGATGGGAGTGACACTGTATGGCTTAAGCAAGTAATGCCTAAGGAGCTAGAGGATGTTAGGGATGATAGGGAGATATCCAAAGCTAATCAGCACTGGCCCTAGACCGTGAATACACAGGAAACGAGGCTGGGGGCTTGGTCCAGTGGAAGTACTTGCTGCAACTACTCACCCTGCTAAGGATCCAAGTCCTGAGATGATGGTTACAGTTAATGATTGTTGCTTTACATTCCCTATCAATACTGGAGCCCAGATGTAGACACAAAGTAAGGACACTTGAAAAGGACAGCTTCCACTTAATAAACTACTAGTTTCTGTTGTAGGCATCACTCACCCATACCCACGGGCCAAAGCTAAATTAATTCTGTCTAATGGACAGTCCACGTGACCTCACTGTTAGGTCCCCGAAGCTTCTTATGCATTGATGTATTTAAGGGCCAATTGTAGGTGGACTTGTGGGGAAAATTCCTGTTTCCTCTACCATTCTCCTGTATGGCCTGGAAAGAAACCTAATGGTAAGTGGGAGCTAACAGTAGGTTATAAAGCCCGGAATGCTGGCAACAAAGTGCTCCCAATCTGACAGATAAACTAAAATCTCTTAATTAACATACCTTTCCATGGATGGCAATTACAGATGTGAAGGATATGTACCAAATGCAGATAAGGAGCAATTTGCTTCCACCTGACAGGGACTCCACTATATACATTTACTCCCTTAGGGCATGTTTTAAACAGCTCAACCATTTATTCATGCATTAGTCTAAAGAACCAAAAGCATTAGAGGTGCCACAGGAGGTCACTGTTGTGCAGTATATATGTGTATCTGGCAGAGAGATGAGCACAATCATCCCACTTTTGAAGAGATGCTGTGAACAGGTTACAAAGAGCTAGTAGTGACTGAACCCTTGACCCAGGGAAGGAACATAAAATTACATTCCAATACCTATTCTTAAACCTATGCTTGCTGGTAAAGCAGTACCTTTAGGTGTACCATGTAAGACCCCTGTACAGAGGTGAATACTGTGCATCTATCATCATGAAGCTGTGCATAACTTAGAATAAAGTTGGTGAAGTTGTGGAACGTATTGGAATGCCCACTGGATACATGGAGCCTCTTTACCCTTCTGTCCAGGGTGCCCCTGAATTCAATGCTTGTCAACCAGATGGTGTCTGATGGAAGCACTCGCAAAACACAGGGTAAATGGCAAGGAATGACTACGGCTGTACTTTTGGCCAAAGAACTTGTAGTAACTGAATAGAAGGTTTTGCTCAACTAGCAGAGCTCTATGCCATAGTACTGGCTCTTAGAAATGGCACCCATGCCATATACACTGATTCCTATGCTGTATGAGCTAGTGCGACACAATGGCTAGGAAACTGGGCAAATTCCCCATATATCGCAATATATGGCAAAGTGAATATTGGGAGCAAATAAAAGATAATGCCAGCTGTCATTGCATTACTATAGTGCATGTAGCAGCACACCAGAAAATGATGGTACTTACCTAATGTCCTGGTTTGAGGTGAAACAGAACTATTTTTCTTTTCACTAATTTTACTTTTCAGTTAAATCTCTTCTAGCTGACCTGCACTCTCTGAAATTAACAGCATGTTTTTCAGACAGTGTCTATTTCCAGAGCAGCAAGGTCTGATGTTTATAGTTGATACTAAGGAATGGTATGCAGAGAGGCTCCTGCTTATTCTTATTACTGTACTTACACCTTATACTTACTGCTATAACAGCCAAGATCAGCTAACTTCATGTACCAAGTTGGAGGGTCAGAAGTGAAAGACCATAGAGAAGTCACACCTGCGGGAAGGAGCTGACAGGACAGGTGACCCAAAACTGACCAACAGGGTATTCCATCTCATCTGCATCATGCTCAGTATAAAAACTGAGGGATCAAAGGGGTCACTCTCTGTTTTCAATGGGTAGCATCCAAGAAGGACTCTGTTCGTCTGCCTTTGATTCCAGTTGATGTGTTCCTGAATCTAGTTCCCGAGTCCAGCTCCTCTCCATTGCTGAGGTCCAGTCTGGGACTTTCCCAGTGCCTGCTGGTGACATGATCGTCATCCTGGGAGCTCAATATGTTTTTGTATAGATTATATATTTTTCATTATTTTATTATTGATATTATTATGTTTTCTTTTTATTATTAATATTTATTTGAAGTCGTTTTAGTTTTCTTT